TTATTCACACAAAATTTTCCCTTAGAGACATTTAGTCATCTAGGACAGTGAGAATTTTACTGGAACAAATATATTGCAGATCGTGGATAAAGTATCTGTTGGTGTGTGTCAGAGAGACAAGAATTAAAGTTAAACTCGTATAAATCGCTCGAAGGAAGAACGAGGGTGTGCAGAAGTTAATTTATCGCTCGTTCCTGCACTCCTCACTCTACAAAATATCGCCTGAACCCTGAACTATATATAGTTACAGTTATAGTAAAACATACAACGCACATCTTGAGCTATAAGCTTTAAGCTCTTGAACAATTCAATAGCGCATATAGATTCTTGGAACAGTAAACTACTGTTTGTACAACAAAATTATATTTAACTACACTCAGACTTTCCTCGTAATATCTAACGTCAGTTGATCTTTTTAGTACCGTGAGCACATGTTGAGCATTCTGTTGTTGTCTGTATTAAATTTAGCAGTTAAATTTACAAACAGAGATACGGATAATTATCCTCGCTAGGGTTTATTAGAATTTTAATGCAGGTGGGTTTAAACCGATGCCGCCATATTGTTTTTACTTTTACTGGGTTTTTTTAATTAAAAAAAATCATTTTTATTTTTGTTTCTGGTTTGTTACGCTTTAGTGGCTCGTAACTGAGTAACTGCAATAATCCTGGGGTAATAAAGACATAAAAACAAACAAAAATAATAACAACAATAGCAATAGAAGTGAAATGAAATGAAAAGAAAAAAAAAATAAAATTTAACGCGACGATTAAGTGCAAGCAGAATAGTGGTACGGGAAGTAATTATTTAACCAATTGAATTTGATTGCCATGAGACATTTTCTAATGACTGCGCACTGTCGGGATCATTAGGGATTCCGATCACGATTTAACATTGTCATGAGATTTCAACCCGTAATGAGAGAAAATTATACCGCTGAATAAGTATTAGGGCGAAATGTAACATAATAATGGAAGGAAAAAGTAAAAATTAAAGAATATTAATAATGATGATGCAATAATAGTAAATTTGCATACAGCATTATTGCCATGAAAGTTCATATGTATGTCCGCATGTATATTTTGTATAAGCGCACAAGGTAAACATAATATTCTATTCATATGCATATTGCGGTCAGCCGCCTTATCGTTCTTTAACAATTATCCTCATCTTGTCTCCTTCATATTTATTATTTTGTCTAGTCTTTTTTTTTGTTGTTGTAATTCTTTTTACCCTTGAAGTTACCTACGGGAAAGTCACCACACTGGACGCAATGAGAATTCCCCTCCTTGCCAAAATCGTAAAATTCCATGGAGAGAAGCCTGTGAGCTCATTTTCCCTGAGATCCCGGAAAACCGAATTCCACAAGGAAATGAGATGAGAACCGAGCAGCATTCCACGGTTTAACTTTACCAGTGCTGAGAATGGAGATCATGAAAATTTAAAGGTCTCACGAATAAAATTTTCTCCTTCTCATTCCCTAATTCTTGCTTTTTTATGTGTATTGTTATTATTTTATTATTATTATTATTATTATTATTATTATTATTATTATTATCATTATTACCATTACTGTTATAGTTAGTTTTATTTTTATTTTTATTATCGTGTTTTTTTCCCTTCGCGACACAGTTCGGGTAGAGTGTTTCGATGAAGCCGCTAGACTGCCTATTTGTTTACGCCTGAATAATTCAAGACTAAATCAGAGATACTTACACTACGTGCCAGAAATGCCTAATATTGCTCCAGAAATTTTATTCCTTTGCATCATTATCATTATATAAATTATAATGAAAATATCTCAATCTGTTTATATGAAAATTAAAATTTCATCTTAACTATAGAGAGATCAGGCCATTTATGACCTTACCAGAAAATTATTTTACGGGTATTTAATTTTAACTCATACATTCACCGGTACTTTCGATTTAGATAATAAAATTTTTTTTTTTATTACTAATTTACAGATTTACAATTTAAAACTTTGGAAATTATAAAAACGCCATGATTTTAATCTAATTCGGTTTATGTTGATAATAAATTAGCAAATTATTTTACAATCTTAAAATAGCTAATAACACGTATTATTAAATTCACGGAGCTTAAACTCAATCAAGCTTATACAATGTACGTAACTTATAGTAAATTAGTAATGACAACAATGGATTACTGAATAAAAATATCATCGAATTTACTGTGAATGATTTTGTGTATTCAAAATTAATATAATAAATGATAATACGATAATTTCAGTAGTAATTAATAAAACAAAAATCAATTACTGTTGAACAAAATGATAATGTGAGTAATAACAATTGAAAGAGTAATTAAAATAACTGTAAAAGCTTTATAACAATCTCACCGCTCGGCATGAAAAAGTCCATTGTTTTGGAAACAATATCCACAAAATGAATGTGAAATTCGCGTCGGCACTCACCAGTCTCTGGTCACGACCCCGATAAGCGTATCAAAGCCTTTACTCGATTCATGGGCAAACAAGAACAAGAGCCTCGGGATAAGAGGATTCCACAAGCTACGGTCTGCCATTACCTACACTTAGAGCGAAAGAGAACGCGAACGAACTTGTGAAATGGAATAAAAGATGCTACCTATAATGGATTGCGAAGGAGAAAAAAGGAAGAGTCAAAGACATTCCGCACTATCGAAAGTTTAAAGTCATTCTTTTAGAGATTCTATTCTTAGCCATTCTTGTTTTTAACATATCCCCAAACTCTTGTCTCCAACAATATCTGCAAGAGTAATAATACCTTATACTATTCTAGTGTCTATTTCGGCTGATTGTTTTCTAAACACAAAAGTAAAATGAACATACATGCTAGTTTACGTGAGAAAATTCCTGACGCACATTAATCGAAATCAAAAATTAAATTTGACGACGACGATGATTTATGAGAGATAATTACGTTTTATGCGAGTGTAATTAATCAAGTTGATTTGCGTGGTAAAATTTTAATGGATCAATATCGCATACCGTTAAGCCTGATAATATAATCGTAATTATACATCGTTAAAAAAGTTAAAGCTCTTCTATCGATAACGTGATTGTCAATAAAACAAAATTGTCATTTGCCTAGCACTGTAACTGCTGGTTGATTACGAGTGATTACCATGAAAACAATAGAATAATGTTTATAAACGTGTGCTTGTCCAGATACATTTCATGTAATTTTTGAACTAAATTTTCTATCATATCTGCTCAAAATTTAGCAAACTCACAAAAAAACCTCCCCTTGTTAAATCTTTTGGTTGAAATTTCAAAAGACAACTAAATTTTTACTGTAAAATGCAGTCATAAATAATTTCATATTTCTTATAAATCCCGTTATTGACGAAAAATATCAGAGTGATTAAAGAAAAACTTTTTTAAAAAAAATGCACTGCCACCTGTTGACAATGTATTTAACTATGTAACTGAATGAATATAACTTTCGGCTACGAGTGTGTTGGCGCAATGAGCGGAGCGTGTGTGCCAACGCACGAGTGATAAAAGCTCTATCTACTGAGTTCATACATAAATAAACGTCATTAACTGACGTAATATTTTGCACAATATTATGGTGAAAAAATGAAAGGTCATATTATAATGACAGAATAAGTAAATTAAATGTATACTAATAAAAGATGTTTTTTTTTTAAGTAGTAATAAAAATCAGTCTCATTTTCACATTATAAAATAAAAATTAGTTATTTGATCATGATATTGTGCGAAATCTTCACATGGGTTGACTAGTAAATTCAATATCAGTAAATTGAGTTTTATAATTTTTTAAACCTAAAAATTAACTTCCTGAACGAACATAATAAAAAGAATTTTGTTTTCATTATTTTCAAAAAAAAAAAAATAGTAAATTACGAAGGACCTTTTAGTATTCTAATAAAGAACTGATGCGGAAAGTTTGTTTTTAGTGTACACTGAAAAACTCGAGAATGCTGATATAAAAAAGGATGTCACAAAACGAGACACTAAAGCACACACACATATATATTTACGTACGTAAAAGTAAACTTTGACAATATAATTTGATTATTACGAAAAAGCGACTTATATAATGTCGAAAAATAGCCAGCGGAATAAAAATCTTCTTTTGTAAGTTTTAGTCACCACTATTTTATCTTTCAGCTCCCAGTGGCAAGAAAACAATTCCATATTTCTCGGTAACAATTTCACTCAGACCATTAATTTAATTGCAATAAAATATTTGGTCTATGTAGGAATAAAAGTTATACCTATTATAACAATGAAACTTTACGTACACGATCTTGCTGAGTGAACATACTACCGCGACAGACGATAGAGCAGTTAAATAATTAAATTTAGTCAAAACAAATGTTTAATTTAAGGAGAAATCTCTTGACATTGTATTTTATAGCAAACAAAAAACAGTAAGGAAGGATAATGAAATGAGTAGTAAAAAGTGCCGTAAACTTCTAGGATGTTTTTCTCGGTCCTACAACAACTACTGCATAGCGTAGCAGTGTGGGTATCCGATAGTTGATGGGAGTAACCGGAAACACGTAATACATAACTCGAAAGTATCGCTGAAAAATGCAGACGTGTCGCGGTGAAACTTGTACGTTGAAGCTTATAAAATACGCGCGAGAGATTCGGAATACTCGGGCACTGGTGTACCAGCGCCACGCTTACAAACTTCGGTTTCGCTATATTTTATTTTTACGAATCCACATTTTCACGTATAAATAAATGTGGGGATACATCTACTGCAATCTATTTAATATCTCCTGGCAGTGATACTTGTTGAAGATGTAAAGATGAGAAAACGTGGAGATTACTCTCACGTGAGTAGAAAATGCAAAACTATCGCACGTTTCACCTTTCAAAAGTTGGTTAAATTCACGCTTTTATATCATACTGATACACATATAAATATATATATGTACGAATACGTGAAACTACCGAGTTATAAGGCGTTCTCTATAGATATAAATTTACAAATATATATTTATGTATTTATTATCAAGGCATATATGTAACGTTGTAGAGGATACACGTGCTTTAAAACCGCAAGAGGTTGCGCTTTACGAGCTTAATATTTATGTATCCGGTGATGCTAAGAGAATCCACGATTCATTCGGGTGGAAAACGGATCTCTATACATTTAAGAATTCTTTTTCTTTTATTTTTTTTATGTACTTATACTTATATGACTTACTTTATTTTTCTGATGTCATTAGATGTTAATTAAGTTCCTCAGAGGACAAAAAATTTATTTATTGAATTTTTTCATTGTCGGATTAGTGATTAAATTATTGAAGACAAAAATTTTAAACCCAACTATTGAATTAGGAACTTATTTTTGAATTTTTAATACCATCCATAAAATGTACTGATAAAATTTTAAATTTACCCGTGTCACGAAATTTGACCATACATTTTGTACTAAAAATTTGACAAAAAGGAAAAAAAATACTGAAACTAATATAATAAATTTAATATTTCAGACACAACGACTTACCATGGAACATCCGAAAGTTTCTGAAGAACCAACTGCGAGACTTCCAATTTGACGATTTGACAAAGAGCCACCCTTGGTCCCACACAGCCTGGAGTCATACGGACTTGCGACGACTGAAAGAAGGAATGGTTGCAGCTCAAGTAAGATAAACACCAAAAATAAAATACAATAAATATAACAAATAACGTTATTGATAAAACTAATAAATAAATCCGCTAACATTTCTGTTGTTCACAAGAAAGTTTAACTCGAGTTTCTCGATAGCTGTTTCCTTTATATCCCTTCCCAAGGAATCGCTTGTCTCGCCTCTACTCCAATTCTTTGTACTTCTATTCGTTGGTACAAGTATTTTCCAAGGCGCCGTTGAGCTTCCTTAATTACCAGAATCTTACTAGCGCTATTTCCTACTATTTTCTCCATCCACACTACTACAGACCTGAATATATATAAATATATATGCTTAAAAACAATGATCCGTCGTTCAAGATGGTGAAAACGAGGAAATTAACGAGCCAAGTGCTGTAAAATCGAGTATCCCAATAAAAGCAAGAAGAAATGTTTTAAATCTTTTTTTTTCCTTCTCTATTCACGATTTTTTTTTTTTTTATAAAACTTTTTTTCTTGCTTATATTATTTCCAACTCGAGTTCTTTCTAGGAGCAAAAAACTCTTGGTAGCGCTTAAGGACACCCGGATTTCAAAATTCAAGTCTTTCCGCCGTAGCGAATTACTTTCTTTGACTCGTTTACCATACTTCCTCCGAAATATATATGTATATTTTACTGGAGCTTTTTTTTTACTTTTCGATTTCTCATTTACCACATGCCAATAACAACATCTGAGAAGTTTACCCGACCGTGCACTTGTCTCGGAATTTCTGTTCAATACTCCTCAAACTTTTAAAACGGTCTTACAGGGAATTCGAAAAAAATATTAATGATAATTAACATCTCAGTGTACCATGTACAATGAAATTGTATTCTTTGAAATATGAAAATTCTTCGAGATTTTTTCAAAAAAATGTCTCGTTATACATAAACACATATTCGACATCTACTAACAGGACGCGGAGCTATGATTTTTAAGTGGATTTCTCAGAAAACTTTTACGTCTGCATAACGAGGTGTACTTTATTGTCCCTCTATAAATGTTGACTCTCGAACGCTCGACAAAGCACATTCAGATACAGTAAGATTTTTTTATATTTTGGTGATATTATTTTTAACAACTTGACCGGTAGTTTTATTCTGAATTTTGATGATATAATTATATTCAACTAAAAATTATTTCATTACATTTGGATCTCAATTTTGGACACATATTTTCATGAACTAAAATTCAAATTACAATTCATTTGATGCCTACATTTCTATAAAGATAAACGCTTGTTAATAAAATTTCAAAATTACTCTCATCCGAAAGGTCCATACATAATTTCTCATATTTTTATCTTAACATCAGAGCCCTTGACTTCTCGAGCAGATTTTCGGCACTTCCGATTGAAATTGAGCGCTCCAAAGATATCTATCTTGAAATCTGGAGTGCTTCCGACATCTGGCGACTTGCTCTTTAAATCTTCCTCAAGCTTCCAAGAAGTTGCCAGAAGCACACGGTACACTCCTTATAGATCCAGCAGCACTTCACATACATATGTACCGTGTACATCCTGCTCGCAACACGCTTCGAGGACTTCTCAATCTCACAGATATTTCTCCCTCGTTCCTTAACTTATATCTCTTCGATTCTTTTCTTGTTATTTCCAAAGTTGTAATCAGAGTTCTATTCACAATAAGTCAGAGTCAGGATAGAAAATAAATAAGTTTTTAATCGATAGCTAGATAAGATCGATCGTATGTGACAAAAGTACACTCAACAAAAAAAATGATCGGGGAATTTAAAAGTGCACATCTGAGAACTTTATGTTGGGATAAACTTCAAAACTTTTTCTCATTTCATACCAGTATTTCATTTTATTTGAAATTGTTCTGTACAAATTACAAAAAATAAATAAATGTGTGTAAATCTGACACTGAAGAATTGTGTTAGGATTTTATATAAGTAGAGGAATAAAATTTTTTACTACTCGTACATTGATTCCTGGAATGTTTGATACGATAATTGAATTCCGATAATGAAAATAAAAAAAAATATTTAGCGAGTAAAGAAGCTACAGGATTAAGTAAATTCATTGAATTCTTTGCGAAATCGTGCATAGACTGAATCAACCAATTTATTTTCATGAAAACACTTTTAATTGAACGATTTAAAACGGCGCTCGGTTAATTAAATTTCAATCTCTATATCAGATTGCTTGTTACTCAACAATTGCGCTATTTAAATAAGTGAAGCATTTTAATATAAAAATAAAATGTTACTACCATTTGATTATCGAAATTTAATCGTTTAAAAACAAACCATTTTATTCATAAAAAAATTAGCTTGATTCAAAAAAAAAAAACATACTTTGAAGAGTTTGATTATCTTGAATTAAAATACTTGAGTCAAGAATTTTTCAGGATGGTTCAAGATTTTTATTTTCAGTTATCTATTTGTCCGAAATTTCTTGAATTTTTCATACAAATTTTGCCAAGAATCAACAAAATCAAAAATCGATAAATTACAAAATAATTTAATGCATTAAAATTTCCTTATTTTCAATATTAAACATTGTTATAACGTTAAACAGAGCGTATAAAACCCTACAAGGTTGATAATAGAATCGTTGGAGGTAGGAGAATGGTAATTAATTATTTAATTAAATAATAAATTAATGAACGGTTGTAGAATACATGGGCATAAACCTCGAGCATTCCTTTTAATTAATTTCAATTTTTAGTGAATTCCAAACAATTTATACGTCCGAATGTATAATAAACTATTATTGAATGATAATATACTGACGTGATGATTAATAATACTTCATTAGTATTATCAAATATTAGTAAAAATGAGTTAATCCAGCGGTATATTTGTAATCATAATAAATTATTTTTAACGTGAATATATCCCGCCTCTACAAGTGTATGCACACATGATTATCCCTCCACGGTCAGGAAAATAAATAGAGTAATTTTGAAATGATAAGTAAACATTATAGGATGATAAGTGCATACATTAGTTCGCTAAGCGTGCATACCTATTGTTAGAGTACAATTCACTGTAAAGTAGAGACGCGAATTTATTTTTCGCTTCTAGAGATAATGCTAAAAAAAGTAATGTCTGAAGAACTCAAGAAATCTTTCAAGATGTCGGGTTGTAAATGTGATCGAAAGGCTTTTGCTTGTAGAGGGATTTTATAAAAAAATGAAGACGAAAAAATAGAGCCAATGAAATATTGGATTTACGTATTGATTCAATCCAAGAATTTTATTTTTTTTATTTTACAGTGAAATAGTTTTACTCGTTTATTGAAATTAATTAATACTCAAAATTTTAAATTTTCAATGTTTTCGATTTCTTTTTAAAATTCCTTAAAGCAAGAAAGAATATTTTATCCAGCATGCAAAATTATAAAATATAAGTATTCTAAATCCAAGTTTTTAAATTTTGAATTAAGAATTTGGAATATAAAAAAAAAACTTGGAAAAAATTATCTCAAATTTCGTTTAAATTTTTTTATACAAACTTTCACAATTTTATTGAATTTTATAATTTGATTTTTTTTTTTAATTCTATAATCCTAAAAAGACACGTTTACATTATATTCACAGCCGAGATTCGCTTGAATAGAATTATTTTAAGCCAACCGAAGAATAGCCGTGATAAAATAGTGTCAGTGTAAATAATTTAACAACGCTATTGTCTAACTTACTCCTGCAAAGTCCATGGAATTTTCTTATCGCCGTAGTGCAGAATAAAGGATGGCCCAATTGTGAAGCTTTTGGATTGTAGGCTGGGCTAGGTTTCATTTCCTGGCTGAGGCCGAAAATACGGTCTTGATACTAAAACGGCTTCCGTAGCTTTTTTCCCCATTGGGGCCTGAGCGAAAATACTTGTCGAGCTCGAAATACACGTGCAGATGTTAATATAGAAGTAGATGTAGATGTAGATGGATTTTCCGATATCGTGAGTACGTTTCAAAGTGCTATTTTCGCGTAGCAAGACAGAAGGTGTGTTACGGGAGTAGAAAAACCGAATGTTATCTTTTGTTCCTTTTATTTTTATCCATTCGAATAAGTAGAGCTCTCGAGAACTACACAGCAGCATCTGCCGTCAATTGTATCCACACTTTTTTTTATTATCTCATTTATTACTATTATTATTCTCTATCTCGTTCATTTTCGTCAACCTCCTTTTCTCCTGTTTAGTCACTTAATTTACCAGTTTATTTGTGAAGACTCAAGTTTACGTCAGAAAACTTTTAAACTTGTACTAGAATTTAAATTTGCGCGCGTAAGCGCGCGCCTTCACTATAGAATTTGCATATATTTTCACGCTTATGATATATTCGACCAATCACGTTACGAATAGTTTGATGCCACATACATTTCATCTCAATTTTATTATGGGATTGAAAGATTGTGACGTTGAAATTCGATTTTATGCTTGGAAAAATAAAAAATATTGTAGCACGTGAACGTGACAAGCGTTCGTTAATTTTCAGAACCTAAGAATCAAGCGAAATGTAATAGAATATAATATAATGTAAAGCTAAAATTCAGAATTTCGACTGGAGAGACAATCGTTAGGGTAATTTAAGACTGGTACGGAGTTATTGACAAAATGATAAGGGTCAACTTGCAACTAACTTTGGTTTAGTATCCCTGGACCTTTATTCGAGCTAATGCTATTTTATCCTTTGTTATAATACTGTAACTAAGTCTCGAGATATATATCATTACTGAGGATTTATTATGATTAAGGAACATTCAAAGTTTATTTATTTCATTGTTACAATTGAACCGTTTGTTTTCTAAACTTCCAAATCCGATCTAGAGAGTCTACTAAGCGAAGTATTTTTTAATTACCTGTGAACAAAATTTTATGATATAGCCTGATATGAAAAATGGTTATATTGAGCAAGATCTGGACATGCCTGGTTCAATATGGCTTGATATGTGCCGACTAAATCAATTTTTATCTTATAAGAAATGATAATTGACGTTTCAATTTTCTGGACAATATAAATAATTTAAAATTACAACAGCAATTTATTTTTTAATTTCACATATAACCTGACATTATATTATTATTATTGGCCATATAAAAAAGTTTTTTCACAGGTATTTTTAACAATAATTTATTCGAAAAAAGTCCTTATTAAAAAAACAAAATCAAAAATACCTCAATGAAATTTATAACAAACCGAAATTTTCTTCTCTAATACTACATTCTACAAGAACTCTATCTAGTTTTATTAATAAGTATGAATAATTAATAAATTAAAGTATTAACTAATTCCATTATTTTGTCAATTTTTCACGTAGACAGTACTTATATTAGTTACAAAGCAAATTCACAGACGGTTGTATCACGAAGTATAAATAAATCCCAGTGTGTACATGACTGTTAAGCATGTACTTCTTGTCTCGAGGACGTGAGACACACTCGAAAGATAACCTCCTAGCTGTCTTTTTTTTTACTTTAATACATATTTATGTGAGTGGAAAAATGAACAAATATGTACTTATAAAATTTAATACGGTCTGAGCTGTTCTAAATTGCATTTGCTCATACCTGTTTCAAATAAAGTTAACATGCTAATCAAACATGCAATTGTCAGTCGATGAGTTTAAGCACGAGTTTGGGTTTGAATTAAAGACTTGACAGGGCGTTAACAAATATCTAATTACCAGGGGCGAAGTATAATTAATTTTGGAAAGTGAAATGAATCTGTCGCACTATTAAGAGCAAGCAGAATTAAGCAAAATTCAATTACCCTCCATTCAATTCTCCTCTTTGCAAAACTATTGTGAATCTTCGTCTATACATATATGTAAAACTTGTACATACAAGAATAGGATCACTGTACGTAGCATTTCATTAAATCCTGCCATTCACACTCTCATATGATAGTCCACACTTAAAACCTTAACTGGTGTGTACCTGCACTCTGTGTATGCATATGTACCTACACTGTTATCTCTATTTCTCATTTGCAGTTCTGGTCGGCGTACGTACCGTGTTCGTCACAGCATCTCGACTCGGTGCAGTTGGCCCTGGAGCAGATCGACCTGATTCGGCGCTTGGTGAACAAGCACCCCCAGAATATGGTCCTCGTTACTACAGCTGAAGGTATGCACAACCTAATACATATATATATATCTCTATCTGAATATATGTCTGTCTGTATGGACTCTATGTACGTATATAACTGTCGGAGAACAGAATATGCCTAGATAATGGATATTCACGATCTCATTCTCAGTATCATTTGGTCTTTCTCTTACTCTATTGCATGCCTAACCGTCTGAATCAACACTTGACAGTGATTCATTCACACATGACTGTCTTCTTATTGCCAATTATCATCTCATTTTGACCAATTTTTCAGAAATTAGTAATTTTGTTGTAAATGCTATTACTTTGTCAAGTTACTCATGGAAAAAAAAATCTTTTGAAGCAAATACTGTTTTGTAAATAATGAATTAAATTTCCTCTTGATTAGTAATTCAATTGACCATTAAATTTAATAAATAAAAAATTGTTTTTCCATTAAAAACTTCACAACTTTGTTTTAAAGTGATTACTCTATCTATGTTCAATTTTTAATTATTTAATAAGTAAAATTAAAAAATAATGGCCTATTAATTATTTTATGTACAATGAGTAATGTACTATGAATTATGAATTTAATAAATTGATTTTATTCATCTGCATAAGACGATTTGATCATGAAAATTTCAAGCAAAAATGTGCAATTTTGAAACTTCTAAATTGAAGTTCTGATTTTCATTAATTTATGAATTCAGATTTTTAAAAGCATATTAAAAATTTTACTTGAAGAATTGAGAATAATACTGAATTTTCTATGAATAACTTTTGCCGTAAAAATTGAATTTCTAATTTAGATTATTTTTAAACAATGATATAATTCTTAAGAATATGCATTGAATTTTCCAACCTTTTGAAGATTTTTCTATCAAGAGATGTATTCACGATTAAAAAGCACTATTTTTACCTTACCCTTCCTATTTAATCCCTGCCTCTTGATACATATTTTATGTATATAAAGTATTCTCTAGCGTAAACGTAGTTAAAATAACGAATATACATGCATTGTGGGCGAATACGATCCAGTAATTTACAATGCTAATCCGGATTAGTTTCAACTTGACCAGACTATATTTTAATATTAATTAATACACTTTATTCTTAGTATTTAGGTTCCAACTATATTCTAAATAAACTTTTGATACATATAAATTCGTTAATCCCTAAGCAAATACTTTAATTGAAACTTGGAGTTGAATTTCCGAATCTACTTTAGTTGAGATGTGGAATATTATTTTACTTACTACTTAAAGGAAAACAATAAACTGGAAACTCTGGAGTAGAACAAAAGGCTGAAAATTTCGAAGTAGTTAAAATACTTATTATTTAAAAAGAAAAACAAAACATTTACGAAATTATAAACTTTCCAGCGACGAATTTACTGAATATTTGCTTTAAATATGGTTACGATAACATTTATTAATTATTTTGGTTGGCATGCGGTTTACATACGGCTAAAAATTTTGTGGTAGCGGTCTGAATACTCTTTTGTTAGTTTTGTATCAATTTAAATATTCATTGTGTTGATTATATTTTGAATAAATTTAATAAAACCGTTACATACATGGAGCTTGTTAATGGAAAATTTTATAAGCTTGGTACGTGACAAAATATTGAAGGAAAATAACCAAATTGAAACATTCAATTTTAAAGATGTTTGAAAAATTTTCAAAGCAGTGATTTGTGCAAATAAATTAAAATATTAAATAATTAATGAAATACTATAATATTCTTTACTGAGTAATTTGAAAAATAAAAATTTGTCAAATTCTAAAGTTTGATTTTTAGTAAATATTATCGAAACATCTTATAAGTTGATATTTAAAATTAAAAATCGTAGTTTTATCGGTTACAGGAAAAAAAATTATGTATGAAAATTACAAAAATTGTTATGGGAAAATTACACGGCTATTTTATGTTAAATTTACAAAAAAATGTTAAATAAAAAAAAATTAAATTAAATTAACATACCCGAAAAAAATGTATATAATTTAAAAAAAAATTTAAGTTATGTATATAAAACTATATAAGAATTTTGACCATATATATAATTTTATACAATTTCATATAAAGCATTTTTCCTATGTCGAATTTAAAAATTTTATTAGGCTAAATTTACATATCTTTTCTTGTAAATCCCTCATTTCTTTCCCGCGCTAAATTCGACATTTTTTCCACGTGCTAAATTTAAACTTTTTGCAACGTAAAATTAAAATTTTTCCTAATCTAAAATTCGTATTTTCAGATTGACAGTTTTGAAATGTAAAAATTACATTTCTAAAAATGTAGATTTGACAGTAATGACAGGAGAACAACTGTACATTTTACAAATTTTTTTGTAATTTTAACTAGTCAGAACTGACGTGAATTTTAGTGTCTCACTTGCGCTACAGCGCCACTCTATAAGTCGGATGTTGCGTGAGCAAAATACCCATAACGTGAGTGCTGACGGGTTAACAGGACTTTTTTCCTGTTAATAATGATATCGCAACTCAAACGTATAGAATCATGGGTCAGCTGTAATTGGATTCTAATGAAATGATCAATCAGAGGGAATAATTAAATTACAGTCCTTCTTGATGATGAATTAATCTATTTTAATTGAATATTATTAATGTTTATATTCGCTAAACATTAATTTAAATATCGAGTCTTGTTCTATTTCAATTTAGACGGAGTATTTTACGTTGTAATAATATGATATTTCAACCAAAATTATTTCATGTTGTTGTAGTCCAATGTTTGGTTGACCAAGACTCGACAAATAATAAAACTTTATTTAATTATATATAATTGTCTCTTTCATAATTAAGTATTACTATCCCAAACATAAATTATTTTATTACAACAATTAATAATCAAATTATAATCTCCAATTATATTTTTATATTTCCAATTTAAAAATTTTTAATTTCTTGCAAATATAGTATCAATAATTTTAAAAAATAATTATCAAAGATTTGAATAAAATGATGCGATATTACAGCAGAAAAGCACATACGGAGAGGTTAGAAGAGCGGATCGAAGGCGTTTGGATATGAGCCAGACAAATGGAGCGCCGGTACATAGAAAGCTCTGCGATGTTTGACCCAATATCGAGTTACTCTCCTTTCCCTCGTTGATTCCTCGTAGTACTGCTACGGCGGCGGTCGTTAGTACTTCTATCGTTCAGTGATCTCTCTTTCTCTCTCGCTCTCTGGGGCTGCATCTCTTTGTCTGGACTCCTGGTCTAGATTCAGGCGGATTTATCGGAGCGGCATTGTTCCCTCGATCTCTGCGTACTTTACGAGTTACACTTAGTAGGCGAACTAGACTACTCTAGCACACCGGTGTGGTGTGCTGCTAGTTGCGCCAGTGGTAGTTGCGGTTGTGGTCAACCACCGTGCCAGAAGAGCCTTCTCAATAGATTGCGACAAAAGGGTTCCAAGTGTTACGCGTTTTCACGCATCTCAAGTGTTTTAATTAACTAGTTTGTAGTGTGCCTTTACTTTCCACACTTCATTTGCATAACATTCATCATTCAGTTATTATTGTTGAACTTTGATTATAGCTCAGTAATTATTAGCTTTTAATTAACAACCTGTCAAATTATTTCGTCATAACCTAATGAATAGAATGCTCGAAAAAATATTCTGATTAACCTCCGGTCAATTTTTATATCAAGTCAGATCAAATCTCAATATTAATAAATAGAATTAAATTTTTGAAAAGGTCTACATTCTCTTTTATCCATTTTGATGATCAACAAAATTGTTTTTTTTTTTTTCATTTTTTTTTCACGGCGGATTTACGAATCATTTGTTAAAAATTTATAAAGTTCTACATTTTTATTTTTTCGCAATTAAAAAATTACAAAAGTACCTCCTTTTTTTTTTTTTGATGGATAGGGAGAGAAAAATATCAATTTGTAGCTTACCATACTATTTTTTCTTTTAAAAGAGCATGACAAAATGAAAAAATTTAAAGAAAAATTTCATGACATGATTTAAACATTTTTTATGAATTTTTAAAAAATTTATAAATCCTGACCTTCGATTAACAATTTAAACATGACCTGACAATTTTTCAGTATTTTCTTTTCATACTTTACATTCTGTATAAAAATATAGGTAATAATTAGAAAAAAAAAAAAAATTGCTGGTACGTCAATTTTTCGAATTCTTGCCATTTTGGGTGCAATAGAATTCGATTTCATAAATTCTATGAATTCTGAAAATTCTCAAAATTGAAGATATATGTCCTGATAATTCCATATCAAGCCTGATATGGCCAAATTTTATTTTGTATATAAAAAGTGATATAGAAGTATATGAAATCATATCAGGCCAGATATGAACTTATTAAATTGGTAGATATGGAGATATCAGAAAATTTTCATCATAAGAAATGAAGGAAAAGAGTTGATAAAATATTTCAATGACAGTAAAAAAATGTTCTCTTGAAATATTTTAATTCTAGAAGTGGATTATGATAAATGATTAGCCTCCGCGACAATTGAAAGATCATAGACTACGAGAATAATCCTCAGCCAAATCCTTGTGTCGACCTTTCTGGCTGGTGTCCAGAAAAAGAATGAGGTCTTTCACCTCTCATATTTCAACTCAGCTGAGAAAATCTCAAGCTGAGCTGAGCTTGCGAACCCTCTTCTATCTGGCACTAACCACGACCACTTGTCGGAAGAAATATAAAATCTAATAAAGGGAGAAGGAGGGGTTTAAAAATTTAATAGGCAGCGCGGGCATCTCAGACAACACTGGACTCTCTAACAAGCACATTTGGTGACTTTTAACGATAGTGAAAAAGTTTAACTTTATTATTTTATTATTTTAAACACTCAATGTTGAGTTCATTAAGGCTGTTTGCTTGAGGTTTTTGGCACAGATATGTCCAGCTGTCGTCTGATTGGCTCTGTACAAACAGTTACTCTTCTTAGCATCACCGTCACGTTTTTTTTTTTTTCAGCCATGTCCTGATTTTAAAGTGGATACTACTCTACAGACAATCATACCTTTTGCCAGAGAAATAAATGGAATGAAAAGAGTATGAAAATTGTTACAAAAAGTAGATAAGTTCCATTAAGATGCATTGAAAGATAGAACAATTTTTTGAGAACACGCCATAATCTCAGATCAGTATAACGTCACTATTTTCAATCTCCACATGATAATTTTTTATTAAGGTTTTCACTTTAAAAAAAAAATTCATAATTTCTTTTTTATTCTCGAGGTCATCGGCAAATACGAATTCTTAAATCCATCAAATTTTTTGGCAATCTGGTGATCTACAAACCACTTTCTATATCCGAGTACGCTCCCTTTGAAGGCTCAAGGGACTATCAGGCGAAATAAATGATTTAAGCCATGTTATAGAGTATTTTGAGAAGATCATGCCCTGCTTGTAGATGTACTCAATTGATAGTTTAAACGTCTCGAGCAGCTTTTATGAGAATATAAATTGACTTACAACCAAGAATGCGGTTAAACCGAATCTTTATGCTTGAACGGCGCTTTTAGGCAAAACGAATATCTTAAATTTTATTGCGCATGATTTTTAACAGTCGGAAAAAACAATATTTGTTCATTTAACAATTTAAAATAGTCTATTTAAAATTAAATCTAATTCCTAAAAAAAATAAAAAATTGCAATGGATTATTTTGTTATTCTTACATACAGCCTGACATGGTTATATCAAAGAATTTTTTCACAGGTTCGTCTAATCAATATGATTGACTACTGTATTTTCCATCTTACACTTCTGACATCCTTATAACGACTATTACTCCTTAACCCTAGTCTAATATCGAATAATAATTTAAAAAAAAAAAAAAAAAAAAAACATTAATATAAGATCTAGCTAACAAATCACATCGACAGAAGTTAAAAAAATGAATATTATTTAATTACAGGTATCGAACGAGCGCACAAAGAAGGGAGACTAGCAAGTCTGATTGGTGTCGAGGGTGGACACGCAGTTGGCACCAGTTTGGCAGTGCTGCGAATGCTGTACGAATTGGGAGCCAGATACCTAACCCTCACCCACACGTGCAATACACCTTGGTGAGTATCCAGCTCAAAATACCTATCGCGTTGAACCACCAGCTCGATCACTCAGCTCCACCAGCTCAATCGTTCCAACCGTGGAACTCTGATGCCGACCGAGTGAACTCTGGCCATATACCGCTATAATATAATATACCATACACATTCATATATATATATATATATATATATATATATATATATATATATAATCACAAATCAAATGAGAGATGAGAGAAAAGGGTATATGAGGCAGTATATCGTATATAGAGATCGCACGTATAATGCCACTTGGGCACTTTATCGTTTACCCGGCAGCTCGTGACGGCGCAGATGAAATTAATCGGAAATCCGATTTCAACCGATCGATCACCGCCAAAGCCCACTATTAAACGTATATTAATACATATTAATACACCTTAGAAAATTGACTTAACGGTCTCCTCCTTCTCTTCCTTTATCCGTTAATTTTCAACAAAGTGTTTCCAGGACCTTACAAGATATAGGTATGGATATGGATATATATATATATATTAACCGTCCTTCACAGTCTATGGCATTTAGTTCAAAACTCCGAGATCAAGCAACTTGCCGAGTTCGTCCTGTACGTTCAAGCGGAACAACGAGATAATATCCACTAAATCCTCGTGGATTCGTCCATTATCATTTCCCAACCCCTCTTTTTAGATATCCTTTTCCAAATATCTCACCCGCCGGCTGATTGTAAAACGATAGTCGGAATGGAAAATGGTTTTGCTACTCACTAGCTTGACTCAGCATCAGCAAAATTATATTATATCATATATCTACACAGTTTTATTTAACAATTAGCCGGCGGTTGGAGACAAAAAAAATCGAAAGTGAATAAGTTGAAATAAGTAATTAAGTCTCGATTGTGGAAAAAAGCTTCTGGTTATCGATTAATTAAAATAGAGTTAGCATTTAACTCCCTTGCGAAATTAAGCTATAAATACTTTAACAACTTTGAGTCCAATCAATGACCAAACCATTTATACTAAAAGATCTTACTGATTGGTATATGAAGCTGTTTACGTGAATTTGTGTATACCTCAATTTCGTTGGAATAATAACCACACCAATACTAGCGAAGCAAAGTCTACCTTTCAGAATTGCGTCACATTCACTCGCTATACAACTTGCCGTAGTATAATTAATTAAACAGAATTTAAACTGAAATAATTAAAGTTATTTTAGCAAACAAAAAACCGCTCGGTTAAAATTGAAATTATAAAAAAAAAATTCCATATCCATACAAATTGATATTATTATGTACAATTAGGAGTAAGAACTTGAACCCCCGTTTTTTTTCTTTGAATGAATATTATCACGCAACGTGAGAAATGTTCGTGTTGAAATAAATTTTTTTCCGCTCGAGTTTTCTTTTCTTTTCATTTCCGGTTAATCCGGTAAAAATTATGCGCCCGGAAATTCATTAATAGCTTTATTCATTCTCACATAGGAATACTGACGAACCCATTTATAATTTTCATTTTTAATATGCATATATTACTAGAATGGAAACAAACATGAATAGAATTAAAAATTCGCGAGATTTTGCTGCATAAAATAGTTTTATTAATAATAATGAAAATTATAATTGTAATAGTTAAATAATCAAACGATCACGTTAGATCACTAGTTAATTTTTCGCTCTAAGATATTATTTTTATAAATGAATTTTTTACGTTGGAGCTTAGTGTAGTCGTTCTTAAACTTACATTTTACACTACCACATGTGTTCGGTCAAAAGCTTTTCAATCTAGTATAACTAGGTGTCACGAGCAGTAACCATTCAATTTTGGTTACTACAATTAAGTGTGTGATAATATTCAAAGCAACGAAGTTGCTACTATTCATTCAAACATTATTCTAATATGTCGCTTGCGGAAATGTTAAAATTGATATTGTTGTATTGTAAAATTTAGCCAGACCTTTTGAAAATTTTAAATCGAAATTGTAAGTGAAGCTTTTAAATATCCAAATAGTTTTGAAAATAAAATTTTAATTTTATCAGAACTCTAAACTCGAAAAATAACCTCAGAATCACTTTAAAGATTTTTTAATTAAAAATACATCAGGTAAAAGTAGACACGTTGTTATTAAATCACTTACCCGCAAAATCATATCGTGTTACTATGAAACTGTCCGATCAATAACTGCATATAAAGTACCCGTAGCGCAGCGACTTTTATAGAAATGCTTATTGTCAATTTCTTTAGCCACCGGCAATAAAATCGTTGACAAAATAGTGATGTTTAATTACAGCTGTAATGGTCAGTCGAGCGAAAATTAGCCAACGTCCGGGATCCATTCTATCGTTTTAATGGCAATAGCAGATCATTTCGATATTTTACAGCTTTTTTTTCCCATCAAAACTAATAAAGAATAATAATTCGAAGAAATTATGAAAAGAATTTCACATCTCAAGTGATGTTAATAGATAATTAAATAATATTTATTTTTGTGAGAGAATTTTTGTCTGGTTGCTGAAGATATATATAACAAACTACCATAATATAATATATAACTAAGAGAAATAAAACGAAGCCGAGTTTTAGTAAACAAAAAAATATTTAACATTCTTTCAAATCACCAGTATATCTCCACTATCGCTCGTAAAACCGCACTGTAATATACTTTATATTGTACACTATATTATACAGTTACAGTGGCTGCAGGACAGCATGCTGACGCGATATGGGATATAACTCTGGAGAATAAAAACAGAAAATAAAAATTATTTGTCATTGATAAATTTTTTATTTTTTTTTTTTTTGATAACTAAATTTTAGAACAAAATATGACATGCTTTTTTTTTAGTCATACATATCAGTAGCGTTGATCGAGTCTTCCGATGACTGATCCATTCCTTATCCACATTAAAACTTCTACGTATTGTTTTTGAAACAGTTGTAGTCGGAGCATAAATAACTTTGATATATATTACACTATATTTAAATAACTCAATGTGACCAATATTTAATTTAATATTAACACATTACATTCATCATAGTAATTAATTAGATCCTAATTAAAACTTTATTGATGTTACAATGGAAAAACTCATAAAAATACGGAAATTTAAACAATTTTGAACAATTTGAGAAAAAAACTAATTTGTTTTGTTGGATATTAAGTTTAAAAAGTGACAAAGAGATATTATTCATGGGACTAAATGTACAATATAAATTGATATTTCTTAAAAATAACTCTTGAAAGTTATTTAAGAATAATAATAATAATAATAATAACAAATATAATAATAATTCTTACCAGTAAATAGTCCATATAAGACTGAGTAAAAAAAGAATTAATATTGTTTTTGACATAATTCAACTTTGTCATATTTAAATACACTCATTACATTACTAATTAGTAAAGACAGGCAAAATTAAATGTTGTTTTATTTGTTTTGTCTCTATATCCATTGTAATGAGATTACAATTATTATCCAATATTTTGAACTAAAATTTGCAAAGCGATGACAATTCGATATTGTCAGTTTTTCTTGTTTCAGAGCGGTAAGTTTAAAACTGTCAGCCACACTGAAACGTATGAGATGAATTTGACAAAAAATATATATAGTACTTGTTTGTACTTCAATAGAATAGGATCATTTAATTCTGTTACTGGTTATTTTGAGCATTAGACACTAGACTAGAACATCTCAAAGTCTGTTATGACACACGTCATACCCTGAATTGACGATAAAGCTAAACGCATTGTAGAGTTTTTTGTGACAACACTTTAGTCTTGTCTCGTTGTACAAACTGCAGAAAACTTTTCACATAAAATATCTAAGCTTTTGTTTGTTCCAGAAAACTCTAAATGTTTTATCTCTGATTGTTTTTTTATCTTTTTACTGCATTTTACTTCTTACTTTTGTTATTTTAGACAGTATTTTCAATTCTGGTAATTTTTATTACATAGATAATTTCCATCATGAAAAGTAAGTTAGGCATTCAAAACCGTCAATATTGTATAATCATAACTTCAGTTCAAAATAATAAACAACCAGAATTTTTTTTTTAGTCTAAAGTATGAATTAAAAAGTATATAATTAATCTTATTTCAAATTATCAAATCTTGTGATCTAAAAAACACATCAAGTCTGAACCAAGTCAGCATGAATTTACATCGAGCTAATATGGTAAAGTTTGCTGCGAAATTTTAGTTCCGCTTGAACTACCAGAAAGACAGCCTAAGGCAGCGTATGCCAACATCCGTTTAACTGTAAGCTTACCCAGAATAAGGCTATCACATATTATAGAATTTGCAGGACTTCCATATATGAATCTTGAGGTTTGACTCGAAATTGGTTACCTAACTTTAGCAAAGTCAAATTTACAAAAATAATTCTTTTCTCTTTTCACCCTTTTTTGTCTCATTAAAATGTCGATGGGTTACATATTTCCTTCTGAAAAAAAAATTTTATTTTTATTTATAGGACACTGAAACAAGACTACAGACAGATGCAAGCTATGGTATTGACAAGTTTTGATTGATGATCGCGTGTTCACGCATTCCCATAAAAACAACAGTGAAACATTTAAAGGTCTCCAGTTTTATCACCGAGCATCAGATGTTATCATTTTTTGATCAACGATTGCGAGTATCCAGAGAAAAATTTTGTAAAAAATGGTGAGTCCGAATTTTTTACATTTTTTTACATATTGACATTTCACTTGTTGGTGTTGATACATTTCGTTTAAGGGGGTTTTCTAGTCTAGAAATGAAAAAAAAATTTTTTTTCATATTTACAAAATTTACACGTTCAAGAATATGGTCTTATAAGCATTTTTCAAAGCTTCTTTGAAGGCATTTTTCTCTAAACTATTTTTATCAAAACATTTGATTAAATATCTCAAGTTCTAATCAACCAATTTACTTGAAATTTGACATAGATTTTCTCTAGATGTATTCTTTTGGAGCTTCTACCAGAGTGATGTCAAAACTTTGATGTTTGCTATTTTGAAAAATTCCAAAAAGTGAAA